AGGCGACAGGAGACAGGAGACAGGAGACAGGAGACAGGAGATACGAGGAGACAGGAGACAGGACAGGAGACAGGAGACAGGAGACAGACAGGAGACAGGAGACAGGAGACAGGAGACAGGAGACAGGAGACAGGAGACAGGAGACAGGAGACAGGAGACAGGAGACAGGAGACAGGAGACAGGAGACAGGAGACAGGAGACAGACAGAGAGAGGAAGGAAGGAGACAGAGAGAGATCAGCATAGAGTTCAGCATCAATAGAATACAATAACCTCACTATACTTGGAGAAATGATGTTGAACAATTCTTCAAACGTCAAAACTATACAATTGTATTTTCCTTCCTCTTCCTCCTTTCATAGGATTCTAAATATCTATATACTATGAATCATTTTCTTTAATGGATTGTTAGAATATTCTCTATATCTTGTTACATTTGTTGCAATGGATACTTTTCAAGAAATAGAATGCCAAATAAATGGGGTGAAAAAAGAAAGAAAAATGTTAATTATGAATTGCTGCTGTTTGTATTATGCTTAGACTGGATTCTTCTTGCAGATAACAGACATGTTGGTGGCAGAAAGATCAAACAGTGAGATCACAGAATTGCTGACGTCCGATTCATAATCAGAGAAGAAAGTGGAGAAGGCTGTTACTTCATTATATGTGTAAGTCATTTTTTTTTCTACTGTTTTGTTTGTCAAGACCTCCATTTGATGATGAAGATAAAACAATTTTTTAAGAATTGTTAAGATCTCCATTTGATGTATAGTTGTATTTAATCATGGAGATAAAACAGGTTTTTGACAATTAGTATATACAGGAAGGATTAGCCTATATGTAACAAGGTCTTTGTAGAGTTGTAAATTTACATCATTTTCTCACACTCTCCTCTTTAGCCTTTGAATAATTTTTGAAATATTTTTCAGACCTGATACTGAAGTTCGAGAAACTTGGTGTAATGTTATTTCAAGAGGTTTCAGAGATAGAACAGGAGTTATGTATGCAGACTGAGGGAAACAATTAATTTCTACCGTAATCCAATCCATAATTAAATTGGCTTTTCTACAGGAAAATTCTAACCATAGACAAATTGACAGAAGTTCAATATAATGTTGCTAATTTCCAAAGTGCCTATTTAGATACTCTTCTGTGGATTCTGAGTCAGGTATCTAATGTCACAGATAGAAGTAACTAACTGCTTTATATGTAGTCAGTACCTCTTCAACTTATTTAGGCACACATGGGTGAGGATGCAGTGCAGATTGTACTAATATACCCTCAAGAAATAGAAAAATGATAGCAAAACTCATAATTTTCGAATTGCATAATGTAGATTTTGATCTGTAGATTCCAAGAATGCAGCATCTTTTATGTGTGGATTGAATTAGAGAAGATGGGAGTAGATGTGTCACATCCTTGTTAAATCATAAGTTATGTTCTTAAAGAATTATATGTTTTGGACAATAATAGTGTAACTGATGTGTGTAATATGATTTCTTATTGCATTTAGATTTTTTTTAACCCAGTTGCCAGGACTTTCTTTATAACAGGTACTAGGAAAATAAGTAAAAAGGCAACTACAGAACCTTGCTTGAAAAAGTAAACTGTAATAATATGCAATTCATATATTCTTAATGGAAAATATAGAAAGTCTCATATTCACCCACACACTAAAGAGTGCTATTCCTTTTTAATGAATTTTCCATACTATATAGATCTTTTGCAGCCTTCATAAAATACCTGAAAACAGCTTTTTGTGAATGGATATGACATTACCCACCAAAGCTTCTGCTCTGAGGCTAAAAGAATAAAAATCCTTGTAAAAGGATACTTGTAATACATTTTTTTTTCCCTTTTTTATTTTTTGTTCTTTTTGTAACCTGTCAGATCTTTTGTCAAATGACATCAATGGAAAAGCAAACATAAACATAGCAAATGCAGAAATGTATAAGGATTTTAGAAAAATTGTGTGGTGTAAGGAGCGAGGGGGAGGCAGAAGGAGAGGTAGTGAATGGTAGAAGAAGGGGAAGGCAGAAGGAGAGGTAGTGAATGGTAGAAGAAGGGGAAGGCAGAAGGAGAGGTAGTGAATGGTAGAAGAAGGGGAAGGCAGAAGGAGAGGTAGTGAATGGTAGAAGAAGGGGAAGGCAGAAGGAGAGGTAGTGAATGGTAGAAGAGAAGCAGAAGGAGAGGTAGTGAATGGTAGAAGAAGGGGAAGGCAGAAGGAGAGGTAGTGAATGGTAGAAGAAGGGGAAAGCAGAAGGAGAGGTAGTGAATGGTAAGTAGAATGGTAGAAGAAGGGGAAGGCAGAAGGAGAGGTAAATTAGAAGTAGAGAGGTAGTGAATGGTAGAAGAAGGGGAAGCAGAAGGAGAGGTAGTGAATGGTTAGAAGAAGGGGAAGGCAGAAGGAGAGGTAGTGAATGGTAGAAAAAGGGGAAGGCAGAAGGAGAGGTAGTGAAGGTAGAAGAAGGGGGAAGGCAGAAAGGAGAGGTAGTGAAATGGTAGAAGAAAGGGGAAGGCAGAAGGAGAGGTAGTGAATGGTAGAAGAGGGGAAGGCAGAAGGAAGAGGTAGTGAATGGTAGAAGAGGGAAGGCAGAAGAAAGGTAGTGAATGGTAGAAGAAGGGGAAGGCAAGAAGGAGAGGTAGTGAATGGTAGAAGAAGGGGAAAGGCAGAAGGAGAGGTAGTGAATGTAGAAGGGGGAAGGCAGAAGAGAGGTAGTGAATGTAGAAGAGGGGAAAGAAGGAGAGGTAGTGAATGGTAGAAGAAGGGGAAGGCAGAAGGAGAGGTAGTGAATGGTAGAAGAAGGGGAAGGCAGAAGGAGAGGTAGTGAATGGTGGTAGTGAATGGTAGAAGAAGGGGAAGGCAGAAGGAGAGGTAGTGAATGGTAGAAGGAGGTAGTGAATGGTAGAAGAAAGGCAGAAGGAGAGGTAGTGAATGGTAGAGAAGGGGAAGGCAGAAGGAGAGGTAGTGAATGGTAGAAGAAGGGGAAGGCAGAAAGGAGAGGTAGTGAATGGTAGAAGAAGGGAAGGCAGAAGGAGAGGTAGTGAATGGTAGAAGAAGGGGAAGGCAGAAGGAGACGTTTAGGTAGTGAATGGTAGAAGAAGGGGAAGGCAGAAGGAGAGGTAGTGAATGGTAGAAGAAGGGGAAGGCAGAAGGAGAGGTAGTGAATGGTAGAAGAAGGGGAAGGCAGAAGGAGAGGTAGTGAATGGTAGAAGAAGGGAAGGCAGAAGGAGAGGTAGTGAATGGTAGAAGAAGGGGAAGGCAGAAGGAGAGGTAGTGAATGGTAGAAGAAGGGAAGGCAGAAGGAGAGGTAGTGAATGGTAGAAGAAGGAAGGCAGAAGAGAGGTAGTGAATGGTAGAAGAAGGGGAAGGCAGAAGGAGAGGTAGTGAATGGTAGAAGAAGGGAAAGGCAGAAGGAGAGGTAGTGAATAGAAGAAGAAGGGGAAGGCAGAAGGAGAGGTAGTGAGTAGGAGGTAGCAGGCAGAAGGAGAGGTAGTGAATGGTAGAAGAAGGGGAAGGCAGAAGGAGAGGTAGTGAATGGTAGAAGAAGGGGAAGGCAGAAGGAGAGGTAGTGAATGGTAGAAGAAGGGGAAGGCAGAAGGAGAGGTAGTGAATGAAGAAAGGGGAAGGCAGAAGGAGAGAATGGTAAGAAGGAGAGGTAGTGAATGGTAGAAGAAGGGGAAGGCAGAAGGAGAGGTAGTGAATGGAGAAGAAGGGGAAGGCAGAAGGAGAGGTAGTGAATGGTAGAAGAAGGGAAGGCAGAAGGAGAGGTAGTGAATAAGAAGGGGAAGGCAGAAGGAGAGGTAGTGAATGGTAGAAGAAGGGGGCAGAAGGGGAAGGCAGAAGGAGAGGTAGTGAATGGTAGAAGAAGGGGAAGGCAGAAGGAGAGGTAGTGAATAGAAGAAGAAGGGGAAGGCAGAAGGAGAGGTAGTGAATGGTAGAAGAAGGAGAAGGCAGAAGGAGAGGTAGTGAATGGTAGAAGGAGCAGAGGATTGAAGTGGTTTTGGAAATAGGGAGGCAGGGAGGGGGCAGAAAAACAGAACTGAGGAGGAAAATATTGTGGTTGGATGATAGATGATGTAATCCAAGGGGACACAGATACATTTGTGTGTGTATTTGAATGTGTTTATGCGTACATATGACCTATTTAATGTGGACCGTATTCACAGGTAACTGGCATGCTACTCGAACTTCCAGTTTCATCACTTACGCAGTTACTGAAGAACCAGGAGGCACTGAAAGAAGCAGTGATAATGGCAAAAAAAAAAAAAAAATTAAATTCATTAGGCTGGTAAAACATTTCTTTTCCATTTCTTTTTCCGAATTATTGCTTAAAATAGACAGAATAGGGAGTCAAGACTTTCTGAATAATAGCGTTATGATTATTTCTATTATTATTTTTATTATCATTATTATTGTTGTTGTTATCATGAAAATCATTAGAATATTGTTGGTTATTGCTATTATTGTTTATTGCTAATTTGCATTAATTACACAAATTATCATTATAATTATCATTTTATTATAATTATCATAATGTCGTAATAATTAGGCTGACATTTTATTGTTGCACTGATAGATATTATCCTGCTTTTAATGTTTAAGTCATGTTTAGAATCAGGACCAAGTGGTAAAATTTCATAGGGATTTGGTTGTAACAACTGCACTGCTAAAAGTAATGATAATGTAAAATTTTTACTATCTTATGCCAGATTATGTAGATATGAACTTTGTTGGCTGCATGGATTTGTAATCAATAATTGATATTTTAAAACTAAATGTCATAGCCAGTAAGCTATCCCGCTTGCACAAAACAAAGCATTTACAAACAGCTATTGATGTAAGGAATTTCATTCATTCATTCACATCCCTTTGAGTCCGTCTTCATAGTTAGGATTACTAATTATGGATAACAAACCTAGTTGTTATTTTTGCTGTTGTTTTTATTGTTGTTGTTATTATTATTATTGTTGTTATTATTGTTTGTTGTTATTATTGTTATTATTATTATTATTGTTATTATTATTGTTGTTATTATTTTAGTTGTTATTATTTTATTTTTTATTTTTATTTTGCATAATTAGGAAATCTGCCAGTGTCAAATTGCGGAGAAACCTTACGTGCGGCACAAAAAACAATGACATTTTTAAAATCAGCTCATCAAACTGCATCATAAACAGTTACCGGATATCATTCAGCAAAAATTGTGTTGGGCAGTGTAATCCTTTGAGCCTTCTACTAAGAGAAAAGGCATAGTAGGAAGAACACGTATAAGATGGAATGGTTTTGATATTCAATTAGGTGGCATGAAGTTAGCCTATCACTATAGCCTATTATCACTGCATTGAGGTATTTATATATTAGGTGTTTAGAGAACATCTGCCCCTTTTACTAGAGTATGATCTAGTTGCTAGATAGGGAGTATGCTATAGCTATATTTGGTAATATTTCGGCTGTATTTATTTATGAAAACGTGAAAAATAAGAATTTAAAAATAAATTTTGAAGGTTGTTGCTCAGAATACAGATACAAAGTGTGCGACTGGAATGTTTTCTAGTGCACGTTGACAATAACTCCTGATAGCTGTATGGAACTGGTTTAGACTCGCATAGTACTGTCATTGACAGAAATCCTTTACATAAGCATTTTGATTTATTCGTTCATTCTATCTCTCTGATAGATGTGGATTCTTTTATTTTCCTGAATGTACATATATTGCATAGAAGACTAGCATTATTTGATATGCAGTGTGATATATTTGTTTTCTTTCTTGTCAGTGAGCAGTCTTTTGGCATAAATCTTTTACATAAATATTTTTATTTCCTCTCATTTGTTCATTCTATCTCTCAGATAGATGAAAAGTCTTTTGTTTTCCTATATGTATATGTATTTGTTTAAACCTTTGTGCAAGATACATGTACTGTCCACTGTACCTCTTCGTCACCCATAATATTTCTTCTTCTTTTGCTTTATTTCTTCTTCTCCTCTTTTTGTTTCTTACTTTTATCACTACTTTTTTTCTTATCCTCCTTCTTCGGCAAATTTGATCTCCCATATTGGAATATTTCTCTACTTATTCGTTCCGTGTCTTTCTTTTCTTTTTTTCTTTTATGCTCCTTTTTTTTTTTTTTCCCAGGGTTCATGATCAGTACCATTGTTTAAAGTTAATGTTTACTGTTCTGCATACAAGATGAGCATTAAGGAATTGCTTGGCAGTGTGAGATTGGTTCTTTTATAAAAGTTTTTATTGTTGAAACAATGAATTCAATTTGGAATTATTTTCTCAAAAATGGTTAAGAGGGGTGTTATTAGATTTCTTTAGCTTTACGTGTTTAATATGGGTTTGTATTTTCTAATGGTTTTAAAAAATCTTCTTAGATTTCTTAGTCTTATCTTGTGGTAAAAGAATATCTGCAAACAAGTAAATTTTCCAATTCCTTTGTCATATATATAATGAAAGTAATACCTTTAGTTACATTAGTAATATTGAAGTTTGCAGGAACTTATTTGATTATAGATTTATGGTAAATGTCTTCATTTTATTACTCATTTTTTATAGTAGTACATGTGCCATTCACGCATTAGCAAAGTAAAGAAACAAACAAAAAAATATGCATTAAACAAATTTATTGGTTTGGAACTACACATCCTGACAGACTTTGAATTCAGGAATCCCAAGAAATGGAAATCAGAACTTGTAGACAATTTTCTAAAAAATCTTGGAGAAATTTTAGAGTATGAAAATTTCAATAGCAATTGGATATGGTTATGTAACATTTTTTCTTAAAAGAAAGAAAATGCAATAGTTGTGAAGTAGATTTGTCACGGCAATTATAATTTAATTTTGATTCAACTTTTTGTAAACAACATTTAGTGGCTGGTGCTCAAAATGTTCACCTGTAAATCACAGATCTGACTACGCAAGTAATTTTAATTTTCCAGTCGACAAACATTCTGCCTAACAGTGAGAATGGGAATAGATGTGGAAGCGATTCCAGCTTCTCTTTATATACTTCTGCATTCAATCCAGTCAAGTTTTCTCGAACTTTTTTCAGGAAGAAGAGATAAAAAGATCTGAAGAAGTGCTCCCAGGACCAAAGTCAATAAGCAAGGAAAAGCAAGAATTGGGTGAAATCATATATGAAAAACTGGTGACAAGATATTCGACAGAAGCCTCCAAGCTAACGGAAATGCTGCTGCAGATGGAATATAGGGATCTGTTGCGCGTAATGGCCGAGCCCGAACACCTCACTGAAAAGGTGGAATTGGCTCATGTTTTGCAAGGCGAAACCAAAGACATAGTTCTGATTCTCTGTATTTTTGGAAATGGGGTTCGAAGTTATGAGAAAGCTAATTTTCGAGAAGGAGATTTTTCATTGTTGTTTATATCCTAGAATCTTATGAATGGACAAATATTTATGACAAATATAGTGAGATTGTTAATTTTTTATTTATCAAGTAATATTTTATGATTTTTTTCTCTGCCAATAAATTTTATAAA